CCAGTAGGTCCTGCGTCTGAACCAATTGTAGTCAGGCAAACCTTGGATAGGATCCATTGCAGCAATTGCAATATCCTGCCATAACCAAACACTGGAAATTCAAACTTCCATCTCTACAAGTTCGATGTCTCATCCTACCTAAACAAAGGCACTACGAAGTCATATAGAGTAGTGATAGCTACTTTCTGGTGTATATGTTGCACAACACCGTCCGAATAACAAAAGTCCACTATTTAAGATCATAAAATTATATACGAGCAAAATAATCTTTGCTTCTACTCATCAAGAGTTCCCCTTGAATCATTAGAAATTTTATTTCCTTAAAAACCACATATGCGCTGATTCCAAAGATATGATTACTCCCATGCACTTCCCGAATTAAAGAACAATATAAAAACCAGAGTAACACCAGCAATTTGCTCCAGTATATATTAATCCAGGTAGATGCTAAAACTAACGTTGTTAAAAACTCTTCAAGGCAGAAAAAAAATATACCTGGTGCCCAATATCTTCAGCTACAGGACTAGTTCCATCTATGTGAAGCATCAAGGATGACTTTAACTGAAGGGGGAAAAAGGAAGCAGATAAGCACAGGAATATAATTTCGCAAGTTATTTACAGGAGACATGATATTCACTATTCATGGGCACAGCCTTGGTACCATACACAGATTTATGTGATGTTAAAGTGCAAGAAGGTGTTAAAGAAAAATCTACAAAACAAATACCAAGGTCTTTTAATGAAATCTACACTTGTAGGTACGGGCATAAATGACACGCTAGTAGGGGTGTAAACGAGCCGAGTCGAGCTCGAGTATTGCTGAGCTCGACTCGACTCGAAAACTTTGAAATGAAGCTCGACTCGACTCGAAAACTCGTGAGCTTAAAATTTTCAAGCTCGACTCGAACTCGAAATCCTAAACTGAAGCTCGTGAGCAGCTCGAAAAGGTTCGAAATGAAAAAAAAATATTAAACTTAACTCGATTGAAGCCTCAAACTCAAACTCGAACATGAACCTTAAATACAAGAAATCTTACTGTATTTTTTTTATAAAAAAATCAATACATAAATATTAATATTATTAATAATTTATTTCTAAAAAAATAAAATCTTAATATATTATATTTTCGAGCTGCTTACGAGCTTTTCGAGTCGAATATTGAGTAGCTCGTTTCGGCTCGTTAAGAACTCGAGTCGAGCTCGAGTCGAGTCCATTCGATCCGAGTATTTATGGAGCTTTGATCGAGTCAATCTCGAGTAGCTCGCGATCTGTCTCGTCTCATTTACAGCCCTACACGCTAGTATTCAAAGGCTACTCGAGTTCAACTAAAAAAATTGAATTTGATTCGGTGATAATGGAGTCGAATTCGAGCACCATAATACTTGTCTTGAGTGGCTCACGATCCTAATCGAGCTTCTCATTAATACATATATTAAATTATAAAATTACACAAGTATCCTTATTTTACATGCAAAAGACATTTAATTTGAGTTCGAGCTTAATGGAGCTTTAGAAAAAAAATGGTAATCAAACTAAATAGAGCTCGAGTAGCTCGATTATATCTCAAGTCGAGCATGAGCTTGCCATTATTCGGGTGCAGCTTGGCTTGATTACCCCTACTTATTGGAGCATTATATACACATTTTTAAAGTAGAATCTAAAATCGCCTACTGGAAACTAGTTTTACTATTGGAATACTGCTAGAAGTTCTTAAAAAGGCACAAAACGTAAAATACAAAATATCTATCAGCCATGAAAAAACGGGCAGCACTTTTAGCTACCTGATTACGAGCATGAATGACATCAGCATCTGAAACACGGTGAGCTTGGTTATCTCATACATGATAGCATACGCCAAATCATTCCAAACAATCAGGCTGAAAACAGAACATAAAAGTTAATATTCTTTCATAACGAAAGGTAGAATAATAAATAAAAAAAAGGAATACAAAAGTACAACAGCATATAGCCAATAACCCTTGGTTTATACAAGCAAATCAAAATGTTAAAACTAATTAAGCCGGGGAGGGGGAACCAGATATGATGTTTAGGCCACTACATGAGAACTATAAATATCTAAGATGATATCAAAGAATATGGCAAATTAACTTAAATATCTAAGACAGGGAATCTCACCTTGGCACAGCATAGACACCGAAAAGACCAGTATCTTTATATTTAGTGTTGAAAACCATCATGCATTCTGCAATTTCATTAATGCCAACTTTTTGTGCCAGATCAGAGCTGTTTGGAGGAATAACATAACAAATCAAAACATTGTTGCAACAGGAGAGTCTCATCATGAAACAGCCGAGAAGGACTAATCCAGTTTAAAATGTGATTTGATTAAGGAGAAAACTCACCCCATGTGCTTTCCACCCCCAACATTTTTGCTGCATGAACCCAACATTGCCTGCATAACCATTAGCGCAATGGAGTCTGGATCTGTCCAAGATGCACCCTCAAAGGCAACTGCAAATTGTGCTAGAGGAACATCATCATTGATTATTCTCACCTGATTTTATCAAAATTAAACAATAAACATTAGAAGGCTAACACATTGAATGTCATTACTGAATAAAAAGGTTCAATGTTACTACAGTAATGGCACCCACCTCAGAACCAGTAAATGCAGCTGGTTCATTAACAACTAGCTGAGAAGCAGTGGTTGGATCAGATGATAACTTGGTAAACAACTTCTTTACTTGCTCAACAACTTCCTCATGCTTAACAGCTCCAGAAGCGGCAATGACCTGTAAAAGCTACCAAAAAAAACATTTATATGAACCTGACAACAACAACTCTTTGCACAAAGTACTTTCCTTGCATGATATGCTAAGAAATAATTTGAATAAGTCGTTAGTTTTAAGGATTTCATCATATATTATTAAATGGATACCACATTGAATTCATCATTTTTGAGGACATACATACCACTCGGAGCAGTGTAGTGTGTCTGTATATTTCTCCAGATCCCCTTTGGTTATTGTCCTAATATTATCAACAGGTCCCAAAATAGTTCTACCAAGAGGAGTGTATTGGAAAGCAGTTGAATGCAAATGGTCAAAATAACTTCTTCTTTGACCCTCAACCTACAAAATTCCCAGAGATTATAGCCTTTCTATGAATGATCAACATAAACTAAAATAGAAAGACAAACAAGAGCACTAGTTAATGCCATCCATTTAAATGAATATAAACAGGGTGATGTACAGTTCAAATATCACTGCTCGGTACAAAAGTAACAGAAATTTTAATTATGACCAACTACTCATACAAACCAGTAACTAACCTCATAGACTTAAATACAGCATATGTAACCAATAAAAACAGTTATTTCCAAATGTATCAAACATACCAAACAACTCTTACTTAGAAGCTAACAAGAAAACTTAACCTATAACAACCCAATTACCTCACTTTATTCACTAAAAACAGATAATGAATGTTCTAATTCAATCACGAAAACACATGCCGTCCAAAAATCATTTTTAAAAACATTATTACCCGATGTTAGCCAGACTTAAAGGAAAGAGTGATTATCGGATATGAATATGTGCTTGACACATATGCTCAAATTTTTCTAAGTTCTTTCACATATTTGGAGGATCATAACCCTACTCATGTTCGAACATGTACCAAGCACGAGTGTCAAGCACGAGTGTCAAGCACTTGTATTCCCATTACCTCTCATATTCCCTAACAACGGATAAAATACACGACAAAATCAACCAATCAAATACACATCAGCCAAAACAAACTAAAACACATAAAAGGCCAATTTTTTTAAGTTGCTAAATATATGCTTCAACGTTATAGTCATTTTCGTCAAATGTTTCTTTAAAATCATAATATTCTGCGAGAAGGGGGGGGGGGGGGATTCATAGTCCCTCTTGTGTTCTCTAAAAACAGAAAGAAAGCACTCTTATCAATATAAAACAGAATATTAGATAAAACCCATTTAAAAGAAAAGGAAAAAAAATATTTTTAGTTACCTCCTCCATTTCCCTTAGAATTACATCCCTTTCCCTACTAATTCTATGTTCATCAAACTTCGAATTCTGAAAATATCAGCTAATATCCAGCGCTTTAAAGACATCTTATCCATGACTTTGGCGTAATAAGTCGTCTGTTCCCTCGAAGTAAGCATTCAAATGCCCTCCCATATTCTCATCTCTTCCTCCGTTCCCTCGCGGACCTTTAAATATCATATGCTCCAAGAAATGGGCGGTCCGTTGGTCTCATCGGTCTCGAATCTCGACCTGCATCGATCCAGACGCCAATGGTGGCCGTGCGGGAAGACAGAGTAGATTCGGTTGTCGACACGAAGGCCGTTGGGCAAAGTAGTAATTTTGGTTTCGGGTGAAGACAGGATGTGCGTGTGGAATGCTAGGGTCGGATGAGGTGAACCGTATTTGAGGAACGGGCATCTGGGTTTGGAGCTTTTCTTAACGGTGAGGGCTAAGCGGTCGTAGATCATGGCGGTGGTGGAGGAGGGGAGATCTCTTTATTCTTGAAGAGGCGGTGGAGGCGAGAGGAGAGGCGGCGGAGGAAGCCGATAGGGCGATGGTGAAAGAAGGGGAAGGCTTGTGGGACTCGCGAGCTAGAGAGAGAAACTGCTTCATCGCCATTTTCTGATGATTCTCTGTGTGTTCTCTCTCTGTTGACTGAAGAGAAGTCTTTCCTTTTCTTAGCTTAATGCTTAACACTGATTCGACATCGTATTGTGGTCGATGAGATAATTGTTGTTAAAATAGTTAATTGGGTTTGTAATAGTTAAAATTTGTTTTAAGTTGGTTGGTCATCGAAGAACAAAAGGAAACGCATAATAATTTGCTCGTTAGAATGAGATTTCATTTCCACAAAAGAAAATGACAACTGCACTAAATTGGTTGCAAGTACACAATCTTCATAGGACTGTCAATATGGTAATGAAATAACAATGAAACCAAAATCACTTAGAGAATCTAAATTTCTCTTGCTCTGCCTTGGAAGTGTATGACTCATGTCATTCATGACATGCATTTTATCTTCTTATGCTGTGGAATTTGGAACTTTGGCTCCCTTGGAATAGTTGGATTCTTTGATGACCTTCAACATAACCAAAACACACTACATAAGTACAACAATGCAAATGAACTTTCAAACTACGTTATTCCGACTCTTCATTTTCTTTAAGTATTCATGAACGATACATATTCGAACAAGGGTACGGGCATGATCCTTAATGAACTTGGAATAGCAGGCAGCATAGTATCTGACTCTCATCTAACATAGCTTTTGAAGCCTGAATAAAATAAAACTTTAGATAATTTGAAGCTAAACTAAGGCAAAATTTACCTCCTAGGTATAATAGGCCTGTCAAAGTAAGGCATAGGCTGTGCTTTTGGAACGAGATCCTTCCTCAGCCTCTTTATCTCTTCTTCTTCTGCCATCTGCAACAGAAAAGAAAATTAATTAGTGTAAACACACATTTTCGTTCTACTAATATTCAAATTCTTAAAAATAAGATAAAATTTTACTAGGATTTAAACTCCTAAAAATACGATAGAGTTCTACTATTATTTAAACTCCTAAAGATAGGATCCACAAGCATTATAAATAGTCATTGTAACTCACTATTGTAACACATTCGGAGGAGGATATACGAATTACCAAGCAAAAAATTACAAGCAACTCGTAGCCATTTTTCGAAGCATTTATATTTTGAAAGGTAAAGTTCATACCTTCGCATGTTATTTTTCCTTACCCTTGCTGTGTTTTGATTTCGAAAGAAAACTGAGAGAAGTGTTTTTGGCCGATGAACGGGGGCATTTTCGAGATCTATTTTTGTAGATCTAGTCCCCAAGACTTGTGTTTTTGAAAAACTATTCGGATTTTTATAAACGGGTCGTGTGGATCCGCGTATTTTGTAGTTTTTTTCTTCGATTAGCTTTTAATTTTGACCGGTAATTTATTTGTTATTTTAATTTAACCCTTATTATTTATATATATATATATATATATATTTTATTATATTTTATTTATTTATTATAATTTGTTTACGTTATATTATATTATTTCATATTATATATATATATATATTATTATTTTATCTATATTTACTTATTTGTATGTTTTTTACTATATTTTCATCACGTTATATATATATATTCTTATTTTATTTTATTTTATATTTCTATGATTACTATTTTTAGTTAATATTATATGTATATTTATTTTCATTTAGTATTATTATTATTACTATTTAGTATTTATTATATTATACATACATTTTATATTTTTATATATATTTTTTTTATATTTTATTTATACTATTTATTTATTTTCATAATATTTTTAGTTTCTTTGCTCTTATTAATATTTTTCTTTTTTAAAAAACACTTTACCTTTTTTATTTTTTGTATATATATTTTATCTTCATTTATTTTATTTATTCAATTCATTTTTTCATCCAATTTTTTATGTTTATTATTTGGTTTCATTTTTTCCTTAGTTTACTATTTAGTTTTGTTATTTTCTTTTATTATTATTATTTTCTTTTAAAATCTTATTTTTTTAAAGGGTATTTTCGTAAACTCGTTAAGGATAAGTAATTCGGATCAAATTTTACCTTTTAATTTAACTTGCAAATTTCTTAATCAAAGACAACTGGAAATTACGTAGTACCGAAAGGACGGTTCAAGGGTGCTAATCCTTCCTTGACCGTAACCGACTCCCGAACCTGACATATCTTTGGAAAGACGCATATCAGGTAAGAAATAGGGTATCCGATCAACCCATTTGTTTTAAATAAATGGTCGGTGGCGACTCCAATTCACATTTTTCAAGTCGAAGCCCAATTCCGGTGCCCAACCGAAAGACGGTTGCGACAGCTTGACGACTCCGTTGGGGAGACAGGCTAAGGTAATTTCCAGTTGTCTTTTTAATGAAAATGGTAAGTTTAAATTTTAAGTAACATTTCGATCCTTATTACTTACTTTTGATTATATTTTCGAGTAATAGTTTGTACTGACCGTTTTTAATGATTTCAGCCCTTAAAGATTTTTCATCTAAGGCTCTAAACCCGAGCTCCAAACCCTGCTTTAAGTGGGGGTGAAAGCGACGCCTTCGTGTGAATTTATTCACCGTGCGGGCCTAGCAAGTAGCCTTCGGGATTCATATACCTTATGTCTTCGTGTGAATTTATTCACCGTGCGGGCATAAGGGAATGTGTCCTCTCGAGTTTAACTTAGTCCACACAAGCCTGTGATGGGTTTAGGACTAAGGGTCTGGCAAGACCAAGGGGGCACCGGCAAGGAGAACTCGGGTACCGTTTTTAGAACCTAAACTGGGAGACCATGGAAAATTAGAGCCTACCCCGAAACCACATTTCCGAAACCTAGGATATTTTTACCTTAACCATGTCTTTTTTTCCCCTTTCGTCATTTATTTATTTATTTATTTTACTAACATTTATGCCTTTGTGTTTGTTTTTTTAGCATTTGCATCATAACAAGAGGCTATTCATCCTTAAAAAGCGTTTGTTACACACAAAATAATCTGAATTAATGGATAAAGGTGTTGTAATACAAGAGATTAAAAACGCTAAGGCATGACTATGGTCCGAGAAGATTCAGAAAGAGAAGGGAGACAGTCTTCAGGGAAATTATGTGTCAAAGCTTGTTAGTTACGCATCTGTCAGCCTGAAACAAAATGATGTCAAATAACTGCGAAATATTTGGGACAGTTGGTAGGCCTGTAAATGAATTGAACGTTCATCGAACCGTTCATGAACCGTACGGCGGGAAGTTCGTTTATGTGCGTTTATTTATTAAATGAACACACATGAACAAGATTTTTGTTCGTTTAATTAAATGAACGAACATGAACATAGTCTCGTTCGTTCATTTACGTTCGTGAACGTTCGGTTATGTTCGTTCGGTTATGTTCGTTTATGTTCGTTCGATTATGTTCGTTTATGTTCATTCATTTATGTTTTAACCCAATCTTCTTAAATCAATTTTGGTGACCATTTGTAAGTATCTTAAAATATTAATTAATATGATATTCTGATGACCAACTCCATAATTAATCCAATTTTATTGGAGATTAAATCCAATATGTTGACCTGGAGGCACTCGCACCTATTTCATTTCCCTCTTTTTTCCCAACCCTAGTGTTCACTAGAGAGTGGAGACGATCGCTGAAAGCTTCAAAACAAGTTATATTATAGTGCAATATGAAGTTTTACATGTTTGTTTTCATCTCTTTCTCTGTTTTATTGGCTTAATAGTTGATATGTAAAGTTATTGCAGGTATCTTCACATCTAAAACTCAAGAAAACATCATACTTCTTTATAGAAATAGATGGGAATATAAAGGTACAATCGCGAAGTATACGAGCATCAGTAAGAGAAAAATATAGAATTTGCCAGAAAACAAAACAAGGTTTCTATGCAATTTCTGAAAAGAGTGTAATAAGAGAAAATTATTGTTCATATGTAATCATGGACCACTAAGATAAATGTTTATAGCGTTAAATTAAGTTGTTGAATCATTTAATATCTTTAAAAGATCGATCGAATATTTGATATCTTCAAACATTTCATCACTGCTAATCAACTCTTACGCTATTTATCACTGTAGATTTGGTTGATTTGCATTGTCGACTATTTCATGAAAGAACAATGGATGGGTCTCCAACGTTATGTTCGTTTATGTTCGTGTTCATTTATGTTCGTGTTCGTTTATGTTCGTGTTCGTTTTATGTTCGTTTATTTATTAAATGAACGAACATGAACAAATTATATTCCTTAATAAACGAACATGAACAAAAAATTTTGTTCGTTTATTTTACAGGCCTAACAGTTGGGGGAATGATAGAAAGCAGAAGTTCAGCCAACGATATGGTGATATTGCCCTCTTACTCCATGTCAAGACTGATGAGCCCTTGCTCCGAGCAATAATTCAATTCTGAAACCGGGATAGTTGTTGTTTCACCTTAACCGGGAGGACATGGTGCCCACAATTGAAGAGTATACTACCCTACTGCAATGCGAAAACATCAGACTAGAGAGGGCATATATCAAACACATCAAGAGTCCACCTTTCAAGAACGGACTAGCTAAGATTGCAGGGGTTGATGAAAAATGGGTGACTGGTCGACTTCGACACAAAGGTAACGGGGAAGGAATCGAGTGGATCTTTTTGCACTGGGTCTGTACGGTTTTATTATATTTCCGAAGACCTTGGGGTGCATCGACGCAGCCGTAGTAGAACTATTTGAACAACTTCCAAGGCGAGTCAACCCAGCGCCGACCATCTTAGCCAAGACCTTTCGGTCTCTTAATCATTGCAGAAGAACTGACGAAGGAATGTTCATTGGATGTGTTCAGCTCCTTCAAGTCTGGATTCACAGCCACTTCTAGAAGACTAACGGGGTTGCCTACCGCCGATTCAGCACTACCTATTCACCATTGGGAGAGTTCATCACTATGAAATGGCATGGAGGCACTTCGAAGGAAGAATGGATGAAGGTCTTCACTTATCTTCAAGACCAGGATATTACTTGGAGAGCCCCCTAGTTGTTCTTCAGTGACGTTCTTTTTCGATTTGGGGATTCTGACACTATGACATTACTTGGACTTTGGGGTGCAGTTGGGTATGCTCCGTTGTTGGCACTTAGACAGTATGGGGCACGTCAGTTTATCCCATCAACATACATATTATCTATATCAGAGTTTGTGTATCACGGTGACAGTTATAAGAAGAGGATCAAAGAGGCAACCGAGTCATGGAAGAAAGTATCCCGGATGGATATCGTGGCTTCCAGAGATATGCTTACTCCGGATTATGGAGTGGCGAAGATTGAGAAAGAATGATAGCATCCGATGCCAGACTGTGAAGACACCCGGACCATGGAGGAACATCTCAGGCCTGTCTCTTCTGAACTTGAGATAGTCAAGGCAAAGTTTGAAGCTGTGAATAATGAGCTGAAACAGAGAGTTAAGGAACTAAAAGCTGAACGTTATCAATGGAAACTAAATGTCGATTCTCAGAAAGATAGAGCAGACAAACTGGAAAGGGAGCAGAAAATAGTATATTTTGAGCTTCAAGACTTGAGAAAGGGGTACCAAGATAAAGTCAATGATAACTCCTGAGAATCCAACGCCTGAGAATCCAAACGGCTGATCTGGAGAAACAACATGAGAAAGATGGTAAAACAATATCTTCAAAACGCAAGCGAATGAGCGTCAGATAGTGCCCTTTGACGGGGGTTTGTAGTGGCGTTTCCGTTGGGAGCAAGCAAACAAAGGGTAAAAGCCAGAGACGCAGTCATCCGAGATTTCCTGGATCAAGTACAGAAAGCAGCTCGCCACCTACACGGCCAAGCAATGGAAGCTGGAGTGGTCCAACAAGGCATACAACCAGTGACAGATAAAAATAGAAGACT